GTAAACTACAATCGTTTCATTCAAAAACAATGTGGAATAAAAAACAATTTTATTTTTTTAAATATCAGTGGATAGCACAGGTACAGTCGGCAAAATCTACGGTATACCTAATAAGCTAAAATGATATGAACATTCAGAAAAAACGTGGAATTAGAAACAATACAACGCATTTTTTTTAATTATAGTAGATTTTTGTTATTTCACTAATATTTTTTCTAACTATTCTAACTAAGCTTGATTTGTCCTAGGACAGGGGTGGCCATAAATGACACATTACTGATTGCCGCGACTGTCCACTCAGAAATATGTACAGCCGCGGAAATCCGCGGTGTTCCGCTTTTTGTTGTTTTGTTCATTGTAACAAGATAAAATCCGTTTCTTCCTACAAATAGCAAATTATAGATATCAGTGAGAGCGAACGAAGTAATTCCGCGATTGTAGAAATAATTTGCAAATTCACGGCAATCCGCGGCGTTCCACTTGTCTTTATCATTGCAACTAGACAAACTCCGACTCTTCCTATAAACGAGAAAAAAATCTAGCGTTACCTGTTCTACTAATTATGTTAAAGAAATTGAAAAAGAAATGAATTTATTTTATGTTTTAACAGTACGAGTTAACGAATATACCGACACTAAATGTTTCGATATGTACCTATCAGAGTATAGGCGAGCCGGGCACACAGATGACTCTAAAGACGTTCCACTTCGCGGGCGTGGCGTCCATGAACATAACGCAGGGCGTGCCGCGAGTTAAGGAGATCATCAACGCGTCGCGCGTCATCTCCACACCCATCATCACGGCGGAGCTCGCCAGCCCGCACGACCAGGAGTTCGCCAGGAGGGTCAAGGGACGGCTGGAGAAGACCACCCTTGGGGAAGTATGGAACTTACATCATCCTACTAGAAATAATTGTTAGGTGAATCTTACTAATTTTATAAATGCGGAGGATTCTTGGATGGATGTTTGTTAGATTTGGCATAGATGTAGAGGATAGTCTGGAAGAACACATATGCAACTTTTGTTTTTTTTTTAATTCCACGCGAATGGAATCGCGGTCGTAAACTAGTATATAATAGTGTGTTAAAGTTTTCAGGCAGCTGTATAAATAGGTATTCCATAGCTTTTTCTCGCGATTTCACTCGCGAGTAAAAATTAAGTAGCCTATATATTCATGGAAATCCGTTAAACTGTTTTAAAAATATATTAATAAATATCCAACCTTCGTTTTTGTAACAATATAAAAATAGAAACTTAGACCCTTGGTTGCGAAAGCATATGAACAGAACTGATACTTTTTTGAAACCGAAATTGTATGCAAATTTCTGTAGCTCAGTAAATATTTACATATATAGTTGAGAGAACAAATAGAAATCTAAGAGAAATAAAATAAAATAATCTCCCTATATGTCTCTATGTGAATAAGTAAACAGGTAGATTATGTATACTTCAACTATACAAATGAGTCTATACTTGAATGTATACTTGACTCATTTGTATACTTGGAGTATACAAATGAGTCAAGTATACATTTTCATATAACAACGTACATAGACGAGGTGTATTACTTAGTATACAATTTCAGATAAAGACGTACATAGACGAGGTGTATACTTAGTATACAATTTCAGATAAAGACGTACATAGACGAGGTGTATACTTAGTATACAATTTCAGATAACGACGTACATAGACGAGGTTTACCTGCCCAGCGAGTGCTTCCTGCTGATCCGACTGGACGCGGAGCGCATCAAGCTGCTCAGTCTCGAGGTCAACGTGCACACTATCATATACTCGTAAGTGGTACTAACGGGCAAACACTAAAACGACATTTCAATGTAACAGCTCTATAAATAAAGCGACGACTGAACAAGTTACTTTAAATTTTGATGATTGACAGATTGTAAGCTTAAGTAAGTGTTTAAAATTCGTTTCAATATCCGGCTGTTAAATGGATATTTGATCCTAGCTAGAATAAATGATTCAAAATATATACACTAAACATAAATGTAAAATAAAGAAAAATATAAGTCATCTTACTATAAAAATGTTTGTGTTTGTGTTCGCTTATTTCACTAACTGTCAAACATATTTAAAAAAATGTTTTTGCATTTAACAGTCTGATTACTCGTAAAGGTTATAGGCTATATAACTTTACGCTATCGCTCTCAGAAGAGGAGCAGAGGCGAAGTAAAAAATAACATGAAATATTACTTCAAAATCGATAACCGGACTGGTTATTTTAATGTACATACTAATAAATCTACTGTAAGGTACTCCTTAAGTGAGTGAAAAACTCATTATTTCAGTATCTGCACTTCAAAAATAAAAGTGAAGCCTTCCAACGTGTCTGCGGTGTCGGAGTGGGCGGTGAAGGTGCGCGGCGAGGCGGCGCGCGGCCTCAACGCGGCGCTGCAGCAGCTCGCGCGGCAGCTGCCCGCCGTCGTGGTGCAGGGCCTGCCCAAAGTCTCCAGGGCGGTCATCGCTTGTGATGACACTAAGGGCACCAACAGGTATAAACAAATACAGGGTGACCGGTTACACACTAAAGAAGGGCACTCGGTACTCGATTTTTGTTAAGGTTAAAAATATATCTATTTCTATACTAATATAATAAAGCGTAAACACACACTTCTTTGTTGCCTAAGACGTCAGCAATTACAGCATATTTTCGAATAACTTTTTTAATAAAAAGCCCTACACTTACGTCACGCTTTAGGCTATATATTTTCACGCCGTTAAACTTAGGCGTAAATATTTTGGATAAAAACCCTAATGTGGGAAAGAGACCATAAGTTGTTGCCAATATCAAGGAAGCAAGGTTGCCAATGGTTTGTCATCATTTCATGTCATTTTGACATTTGCAATTGATAATTTGACAAACGTGAACAATAAAATGATTTTTTTATAGTTTTATGCGGATAAAGTCGCATGGAACAGCTAGTTAATTATATGTTTTCATATAATGCGCTAAGTGTTATTTATTTTTAAACTATTTAGTTTAGGAGTGAAAATGGATAAAAACCCAATGCAAATAAATTATTTATTCATCTGTAACACTATTAAACATCTCTGAGTGCAATTAAGTAATTGAATTATTTACAAATGTATTGTTTTTTTATAATTTCACAGATACAAACTGTGCGTCGAAGGAGACGGTCTGAGGGATGTCATAGCTACGTTTGGCGTAGACGGAACTAAGACAACGTCGAATAATATTCTAGAGGTAAATTTAAAAAGCGAGCTTATATCGCTTCTGCAGTTTTACTGATCTTGAGGATTTACAAGGACATTGTTCATAACCTCGATGAACCCGCTTCTCATTTGCACTCCTTCTTTTATTAAAAAAAACCGCTTGTGTAGTAAAATAATTCTCATTTATACTTACTGTCTTTACTTATTTCCGCTTATAAAATGACTTTCATGTATACTTACCTCAATGTATACTTACTGCTATGTATATTAACCGCTGTGTATACTAACCGCAATGTATTCTTACCGTTACGTATACTTACCGCAATGTATTCTTACCGTTACGTATACTTACCGCAATGTATTCTTACCGTTACGTATACTTACTGCAATGTATACTTTGCCAGGTGTACAACACGCTGGGCATCGAGGCGGCGAAGTCGACTATCATCAGCGAGATCCAGGGTGTGATGGCGGGGCACGGCATGGCGGTGGACCGGCGCCACGTGGAGCTGCTGGCGGCGCAGATGACGGCGCGCGGGGAAGTCCTCGGCATCACCAGATACGGATTGGCAAGGATGAAGGAATCCGTGCTTAATCTCGCCAGTGTATGTATAAAATAAACTAGATTAGACTTTTTTGGGTCTTTATTCGAAGTTCGATTGTTGTTACTTCAGAAATTAAATAACATAATAATTGATATTTCCGTTACAATTTTAAGTCGTTGAATTTGGATGAAGTGTCAAACGTGCACTCATCCAAATTGAGAGATTTGTATAAGTAAAGTCTTCGAGTAATATAAACTTTGTATTATTAATAATTTTCGCCCGCGCGGAATTAAAAAAAAAGTGAGTAGCCTATGTACTTCCAGACTATCCTCTACATCTATGCCAAATTTCATCAAAATCCATTCAGCCTTTAAGGCTACAAACTCTAACAAACATCCATCCATCTAAACTATGCCATTTATAATATTAGTATGATATATTGTTTTAGTTCGAAAAAACTGCGGACCATTTATTCGACGCGGCGTACTACGGGCAGCGGGACTCGATAGAGGGCGTGTCGGAGTCCATTATAGTGGGCGTGCCCGCAGCCATCGGCACCGGCTGTCTGCAGCTGCTGCACCGACACCAACACGCTGAACACGCTGAACACAAACACGCTGAACACGTCAAGCACGCTGAACACGCTCATACTGAACACAAACACGCTGAACACGCCGCGCCTCAAACACGGCCTTTACTCTTTGATGATCCACAATATCATACTTCAATATGGGAGTAAATTGTGTTATTCTTAATTTAAATATATGTTTGGAAAATAAAAATGTTTTTTTATTTATCCCCTTGTCTTATAGAACTCCAACGAGTAATCTGATAGCTATGTTTTATGACTAGTGGTTACCCGTGACTTTAAGAATGGATTTCTAAAAAGTAGTGTATAATCCTGTATGTTAAATACTTGTTAAATCCAATAAAAATGAGTCCAACCGTTCCGGAGATTACCTTTTTCTTGTATATTACATCACACAGATTTTTTTTTATAAAAATCGTTTGCAATACAAACACAAGTTCGCGAGGCATTTCCCATGTTGTCATTTTTTTTAAATATAAATATACAACTGCAGCCCAATAGTACCGTCGTAAAAATAATAGATGGCGCCACATGTTTTGAACGCGATAAAAAATTACGTGCGCTTTTAGTTTAATTATTACCCAAATTAGGAACTTAATAATAACTCAAACACAACTGGACCGATTTCAAAAATTCTCTCGCCATAAAATGCTACACTATCAGTGAGTAACATAGCGTATATGTTTTTTTTCACGCGGACGAAGTCGCGAGCAACAACTAGTGTATATAGATTATAAAGTCAAATAAAAACGAAACCGATTAACTAAACTTTTATTAAAACTAAAACATTTACAACTAAACTATTACGTATATTACAACTCATACATTATTCCAATATACTTAAATACACACAGAATTAGTTCAGTATTCACTAAGTATGACAAACTGATCAAATCAAATGCAAAAATTGAAAAAACCTTTAATGACGTCATCATGTCACAATCAATAAGGGCTTTAATTATCGAACTTGTAAAACATTCTGTCTCTTTCATTTTTGTTTCATAAAATAAAGACAACACGTTTAAATACAAGAATAATGGTTCACACTTGGCCAGTACAGTTGCTATTGCTTTATGGACTTATTGGCGGTATTTGTTCACACTGGCAGTTGCCAGTCCAGTTATAGCACTACTGACGGCAGTGGGCTGGCCATCGTGCAGCCTCGTCCACTTCTCACTGACTCTCCACAGCCACATGCCCAGCTCGTAGTCCTGCGCCTTCTCTGACGGTGTTGCCAGCTTCATATCCCTATACAAAATATACACATAAACTAATTTACTAATATTAAAAATGTGAAAGTTTAGATGGATGGATGTTTGTTAGAGTTTGCAGCCCAATGAATGGATTTCTATGAAATCAGATATACGCTACTTGCTTGTTTTTTTAATTACACGTGAACGGAGTAACAAGTTAGTACATCATAAGTCAAAAACTAAAACGTTTAGATGTATAGATGAGTTTTAACTACAAATTTATTAACGGATCAAGAAATTATTCACCGATGTAGCAATGTGAAGTCATTATTCCCTGCTAGCTTCAGACGGCGTAAAAATAAAAATGACACCTGTATACTATTCCATATTATAATCTTTCTGCACCTATATTGAAATTTTTTATATTTCAAAAAAGTAAAATCTTACTAACATTATAAATGCGAAAGTTTAGATGGATGGATGTTAGAGTTTGTAGCCTAAACTGCTGAACGGATCTCGATGTTCAGTATAGACGTAGAGGATAGTCTGGACTGGAAGAACACATAGGCTACTCAATTTTATTTAATTCCACGCGGACAGAGTCGCGGGTGAAAGTCTATTATAAAAGTTAACTTACACATAGTAATCACCGGCGCATTTTTCGAGGTGATGATCGAGTGCGGCGTGCAGCACGGTCTGCGCGGCGGCGCGCGGCAGCTTCATCACCGGCCAGAACACCGGGTAGATGATGAAGCGCGTCACACTCTTTGACATCGCCATGTGACGCGTCAGATCCGTGTCAGAGAAGCCGGGGTCCACCGCCGACACTGACACACCGCTCTCTGGTGGAGACACACTGACGCTATTCGACATATTTTTAACTCAATTTTCTAGAAAGAATAATGGAGATAACAGGATATTTACAAAAACTTTCTGAAATGAATTCTGAAATGCCATTTAAAGATATACAGCTATTTGCTTATACTCAGTTTATTCCTAAGTTTTTATGCCGCTTTTATTTGTAAAACTGTAATGGTTTTCGATAATTTAGTCGTGGGCTTCAATCCTGGCATTTGACTATTATTTAAGCCTCACACAAACATATTAACATTATCTGGAATGGTAATACGAAATATTAGTAAATCATTACAAAATTACAAGTAAAAAATAACAAATACAATAGTTTCCGTTTCACACCTAGCAATCTCCTGCCGAGTTCCCGTGCGAAGAGTAAATTGGCGAGTTTAGCCTGGCAGTAGGCGGCGTTGGGCTCGTACTGGCTCATGTTGAGGTCGTCCTTGCGGATGTCGCCGCGTCTGTGCGCGTCGCACGTTACCACCACCACGCGGCTCGGAGCAGACGCCTGTTTATTTATTTTTATAGCAATGCCAACAATACATATTAAAATAAATAACACATTTAAAATAAACATAAACATGTTTCATTTATAAGCAAACACAACATTCATATACCCTATTACATTTAGTAACCATTTACATTATCAGAAACGCTTACTAACTTTAGATGGCAGTTTTGCACGAATTTAATGCAACAGATGCAATGCAAATGTCGGTAAAACGCAAACAGTACTAAATTATGGATAAATGAAACAAGAAAACCGGTCATTAGTCATATTTATGTTTGTTTCGATTTATATTAGTTAATTATAATTTTTGTGTTTCTATATTGTACTTACCCGTAAGCTCATAATTCCAATATGTAATAACATTTTTTTCATTGTAAGCGAAACATTCTTTTTTTATGAGAATAAAGTACATTTAAGTAACAGTAACACAAGTTTCAATATTGTAATAGTTACCAACCTTCAAAGTATCCAGCAGTAAATTGGTGAGCAGGAAATGTCCCATGTGGTTGACACCGAGTTGTGTTTCAAAGCCGTCCTTCGTCACACCCTTGGGTGTCTCCATCACACCGGCGTTGTTCACCAGTATGTCTAGCTTAGGCTCCTCGGATTTGAACCTGGGTAGTTTGTAAAAATATAGGAGATGGTCCTTCGAGCAGGATGTTTTGGTTATTTCTTTAGTTCAGAGTTACAAAGATTTTAGCCCTGGATCTTTTTAAATGTGGAAGAGGCGATGGAGACGAATTCTGTAACCTCTTCCGTTAGGTTAAGGGTTTAAGTTATTGTTATTCCTTCGTAAATTTGTACCTGTCAACGAATTCTCTGACGGAGGCAAGCGAGGCGAGATCACAGGGTCGGCAATAGACGAACTTGTTGCCCGTTTCTAGAACGATTTCACGTCGCGTCTCCTCGCAGCTCTTCATATCGCGACATGCCATAAACACCTAAATATAAGTCAAATTAAACAACCCTCTTCTCGATAATAAAAGTGTCCATTATTGTAGATTTTGTGACTAAGTTGAGCACCTTAGCTCCCCTCTTGGCAAACTCCCATACAGTCTCTTTGCCGATTCCGGTGTTAGCGCCGGTGATGATCACCGTCTTGCCTTCCGCCTTCACGTTGCGGTCGAACGGCTGCCCGCTGTGCATGTCCCTACATATACACAATATTGGGCTAAGTTAAAGAAATTTTTAATGCGGTCGAGGACTCGTAGTCAAGACTGGCAAATACTGGCTAATTAGCCAGTGTCAATCAAAATATAAGCGTCGGTGGCTCAGTGATTTAAGCGTCGGTGGCTCAGTGGTTTAAGCACTTGACTTGTAATCTACAGGTCTTGGGTTCGAATCCCGCCGTGTATCAATTTGATTTCCGATTTTTCGAATTTTCATATGTACATAATTTACCCGACGTTCTTACGGTGAAGGAAAACATCGTGATGCAACCTGCACATATCGGCGAAGAAATTCAAAGATATGTGTGAAGTCGACCAATCCGCACTGGGCCAGCGTGGTTGACTATGGCCTAATCACCCTAATTAGGGTAGGCTCCGAGCCCCTCGGTGGGGACGTATAGCTGGTGATGAAGATGATGATGAATCAAAATATAATTATTGCTCTTAATAAGAGAGTCAGGGCACAAAGACTGTCAGTTCTAAGTCTTTACTAAGTTGTTAAAAACCGGTGGCTCGAAGTTAATCTATAAACTAAGTACAAAGTAATTTACTTGAACAAGCAAAGCGCGCCGGCTGTGGCCGCCACCCCGGTGATCACTGTGATAGGCAAGTTGGGGATCCACATGCCTGAAAAAAAGCACATCTTATAATCAAGTGACATAACGGAGATATTAATTTACCTTTAGAAAAAGAAATTACTAACTGTAGTTGAAAGTAAAATTGAAGTAGTTACTTATCGCGGCTCAAACATTGAATTTTAAAATCTACTTATTTATTACCTGATTTTTTTTAATTAAAGTCGTAGTAGACAGGACGAAGGGGAGAGCCTCTCCCGTGATTATCTGCTGGCTACGCCCATAATGACTGCAACCCACTAATTACTAGTATTTTAAATTTAGGCAGACATTTCATTGGTCCTACTGAGCCGGACTTATTTGAAACACGTAGTTAATTTAGTGGTGAAATAATAGCAAATGAAAAACAATATATATTTTAATATTTTATATATTCTTTTCTTAATTTTACACGTGTAAATGTTACTAGTAGTGTTGCGTTTAATTATTTTACAGTGCCGAAACTAAATCTTATACGAATTATTTACGTTTGCTTTATTACTCGGAAATATGTGATTTGTTTGACGCGTGACTTTTTAAAGCAATGTTCTTTTACTTCCATTTTTTAAATTACAGAGTTCAAAATGGTGCGAAGTTCAGCTTACAACAAAAAAAACACTGAAATCAGACAATTGAAGCACAACCATGATAATTAAATTTAATAGGAACCATTTATACAAAAACAATGATCTAAATTCAACTAATTTTACTCAATTGCTGGTATAAAAATATTAATGAAATTAAAAAAAAACAAAGTTCCTTCCTGATCAACCAAACCAATAATCAACGCCATCTATCCTATCAAATTGGAAACACTTTTTAAGTACTGTATGTAGTCATTTTGAACTCAAATATACAATCACATATTTCCGGATTTTATTTAATACATAAGCTATTTCAGTCTGCAAAGGGAAGATCTACAACAGTTAAAACATAGATATGTAAACTATAGATGGAGTGTTACATACAAATTTGACGTCAGTGTCCCCGCAGGCTTTGTATCGGCCTATTGTTCAGTAAGTTTCATGAACGCTCGACTGCCCATCAGAAACAATCGGCCTATAAAAAGTCTACTCTGTGAAGCTCGAATAGAGTCGATTTTTGGAAATCGTAGGACAATACAAGTTTACTCCAAATCTACTGGCTTTTTTCTTTTTTTACTCCGTATTAGCTACCTATGGGTTATACATCTATGTTTAAAGTTGCGTTCTCGAAACGTGCGAAGGGTGACGCACAGTGGGCTTAAATCTTGATTTTCACGGACATTTTCATCTGATTTTTTTGCATGTCTGTCACTTGAGAATTTAGCTTACTGTGCCTGCTTCGCCCATCGCAAATTTCGAGAGCGCCTAACTATTTAAAAAAAAAAAGTTTCATCTCTTATAATAAAATGTAACTTTTTTCGCCGGCTGGTTCTATGTCGGTCTTAAAGGGACTAGATTCAGTTTTATTATATAAAAATATATATCTCTATGTTAATGAAAAGCTGACAAGAAATCACAATTACAACAGATCACAACTTAAACATTTCAAATACTATGAATTCATACTGTGGAAACATTCACACAAACATGTTTCGAAACATACTTGTGTATCATCAGTGCAAATTCATTCACAACTAAAATTATATTTATGTGAAAATATAAATATTTACAATAAAAAAAAAACAATACAATCTATTTTTTAATGAGGAATTAATCTTCAAATAATTTCTGAATTTAAATCTATTTAATAAGTCATTTTAGAATAATAAATGCATAATAAAGTAAAAAATAAAATGTACATTATTTTTGGAATAAAATAGATCTAAAAGCCGACAGTAACATCTGAAACAAATATTCCAAGAAAACTAAAAGCCAATAACCATTAAATGAAAAAAAAAGCTTCAGGTTCTAGAACTATTAAATAATAATGAGATTTCATATACAAAGTATTTAACATGAATAATAAAATAACATAAAACGTTACATAGATCTTATTAATTTTAACACTCATATTGCTTATGGTTAATATAGAAAAAAAACTATGGTCCTTAAATAATAATTTCCTTGTAACTTAAAATTAAAAATCAATAATAAAAAAGGTAGTTAGCTGGTTGTAATTATAGCTAGTACTCGACCACAATAACACATCACTGTACATAATCTTCGAAGAATTAAATTACCTTTCCACTCAAATTCAAATTTATTTCTATAACGAGCTGTCGCCCGCAAACTTCGTTAGCGTGGAATTTAAAAAAAACGGTTGTCTATAGCATTCCCGCGTGCATCTACTTTGTACCAGCTACTTTCCGGTCAGTCACGTCCAAATCGGTTCACCCGTTACAAAGATAGTTGTCGGGTCGCTATTTTGACAGCGCGGAATTTAAAAAGTAGCCTATATGTCCGTCGATGTAAGCTACCCTTCAGTGAAAGTTAGTCAAAATCAGCCAAGCCGTTTCATAGATTACCCTAAACAAACGTGGCTTGCGGACAGACAGACAAAATTTAAAGTGATTTTCGTTATTAGCAACGCAAATACATCATTTTCCCGAAATCTGGAATTGTTCTTTTGATGTTACAATAGAACACTATAAAAACCTACATTTTAGCAAGTACTTTGATAAATTACGATACAAGAAAATAAGCAAAAGGCAAGGCAAATTAAAATCAATACTAGCAAATACTTGATTTTATCATTTAGAGTGCGCGCACATCTTTGACTAAACTACCGCATGACTGTTTAGTCTCGTTTTTTTTGTGACTGAATGGCCACTGTTTTCCTTAAAGAGGCATTTACAGATTCACCGGGCTTGAGGTGGCCGAGCGCAGATGGCGCTCAGCATAAACCTCGTTTATGAGTAACTAAGCTCGAGGACTCCCTCAGGAGCCTCGGCACGAGCCGTTACTTCGTTATTATTACCGGATTGGTTTAGTCTCGCTATTTCTTTGTGCTTATATTTACGTGCGCACATCGCTCGACTAGTTGAGCAACTAAGCAGTTGAATTTTGCGAAACAATCAACAATCGCACAACGGTCGTGCGATAGTTTAGTCAAAGGAGTGCGCCCGCTCTTATGCTGTACAAATTATGACGTCATGTTCTTGTGATGTTATTTTGTTCGAGTAGTATTACCTATAATACCTAAAACTAGTTATAAAATTGACAGATTTATAAAACTGTAAGTTGTGGGTTCCAACAAAACAGTCAACATATAGTCATCTCACTCACTCTCTGAAGAAACAGAGATAGCAAGATGTCTTTAAAATTGTATTGACAATACCCACTGTAAATGAAATATACATTTCGTTAATAAATTATTATAGATTTTGAGTATATACATTCGAAGGCTTCTTCAACTTAAATTTACATATGTAACGATATCACATGTGCTTCTTTACATATAGTGCACTTTATATACTTTAGATTTCCAAAATCTGTATTATACAAAAAGAAATTTAAATAAGTGTGGATTGATTTTCTATTGCCAAATAATTAGGTCCTTTGAGCCGGATTCTAAAATCAAACATGCTTTGCTTTTATGGTCAATAAAAATAATTCCAATCACAGACAAATCCAAATTTTTATCTGAAAAGCACATTAAAGTCATCTTTTTTGAGTACAGATAAGAATATAAATAGATATTTTTATGTCCAACCATAAACATGCGTTCTTTTCATATTTTAGAAAATGTTACTGATTTGATTTTTAAATTCTTGGTTACACTATGTCCGTTTTATTTAATGTTACCAATACTCACAAACAGAGTATAAGGTAATTTTAGTTTTATTATTTACAGAAGGTTGGGATTTAAAGTGGCAGTGAAGTGTTTATAATTTGTCAGCTGGTTTTAAAATGTGTCTTGAATTTGTCTACCATGGGTTCACATTGCTTAAACATTTACATAAAACATGTTATGTCTTTGTTAAAAGAGCCTCAAATTACATTGTCTTATGTATTTTTAAGCAAAGAATTTTTTAAATTAAAATAACAGTATAAGCTTCACATTTAAACGAAATATTGATATGATTCAGTTTACTATTACATTAATAATGTTAATATACATAATGAATAAAGTTGAAAAAATAATGGATTAAAGTTATGTTTTATTATATACAACTATATAGTTATTTAATTGCTCCCTTAGGTACATCTAAAAAGTATGTGTTTATTCTATTCTCTATATTTTAAAGGGCAAAGTAACTTTTAATTAAACCTTACAATGTAATAATTATGTGCAAGAGAGCAATTCCCTTAAATAAGGAAATATGTACACACTATGTGCAAGTGGGATTGTGTATGTAAATTTAATTAATCTAATGAAGCTTTCATATGTTTTAATGTTTGAATGCTTGATAACTAGACATTTGGTGTGTTAAACAATATGATAGGACTATGTTTCGGAATTGATAAGTGTGCTACAACCTTAAAACTGAAATTAGGGTATCAGGTATTATGTTTGAACTTATATAGATTGTTTTTTCACTTTTATTTGTAAACGTAATTATTTAAAATAAAGATTTAAATGAGATTAAGATAGTGGAAAGATTTGTGCACACTGGCTCTTAGCCGGAATAGTCATTTTTGTTTGATTTTGAGCCATTATTAAGGCAACATTGATTTTCAAATCCTTGTACTAAACTTAGTGATCTTTGACTAGTAATTAACACAGTTTCATTGAAGATTAACTTAGTTTGTTTAAAGTAGTTGTGCTTTTCGATTTTGTATCGTTTGGAAGCGGCCTGGCTATCCCAACTCTAACAATACCTCTCGGCGCACCCTTCAGTGCCTGAACAGCTTGGTCCAGGGTTGCATTCTTTATACTACCTCCATTAACTGACATAACACGGTCACCTGGAGATATCTCTCCATTCTTCTCCGCAACACCACCAGGGACTAAACTTCTTACAACAATTACTGTCCCATGCGGGTCAATAGGGTCTTGATAATCCAATATTGAGAAACCTAACCCTTGATCCCCCTTTATTAACTCAACAATGTCCTCTTTACTCTGCCACATAGCTAAACCGGTCACATACTCCAAGGAACGGGATTTCTTTGATAGTTCCGAATGATTTGTTAGAGTTGCAGTACTTGAAGTGTTAATTGAGGTATCCGATTGCGCTTTAACTATTGTAGTTAGATTATTAAGGCTGCCGGAAATTATCTTTCTAGCCTCAAAGCCTTCTCTGTCAGGTGCCAAGTTGATTAGTGGTCTTGGACCACTCTCTGTGTTGCTTCTCGCGCAGACCAGTCTGACTCTGTTTGGCAGCTGCTTTAGTATATTTACAACTTCTGTGTGAGTTAAACCGTGAAGTCTGTACTCATTAGCTTCAAGCAGCTCATCTCCTGCATTTAATGTGCCCTGTTGTCCAACTGGCCCCTCAGGGAGGACTGATCTGATGTAATGATGTGGTCTCACTTCCTGTCCCCCCTCAACATCCACAGTGCCTTCTAGACTTATCCCTAAACCTGAAAGCTTGTTGACTTCAGCAATTATTATTTGCTTTTCAGGTCCTATTTCTTCTTGCCACTTCTGTCTCACTACTTCTTTGTCAATGGCAAGAATCTCATCAAGCCTGTGGTCTAGTTCTTCTTGTGTTGGTTCATTCACTTCATTCTCCCCTACCTCTAGGACACCAGAGTCTATAGTAGTGTTTGACTCAGGCTCAGGTTCAATTTCTGTTATACTATTTTCTGCTTGTGAGGGAACTGGAAACCATGACAGGGTAGTAGTTGATGGTGAGGGAGAACTGGGACGTTCTTCATTAAATATAGCTAGTTGCAGATGCTCAAACTTTGGACCTCGCAAATATCTTTCTAAAACCAGATGTAGTTATCCCTGTGTTTCTTAAAATTTCCACTGCTTGGGGGTTACTCTTATCAGCTAGTGAGACACCATCCACTTCTATGATTCTATCATTTAACTTAATCTTTCCACTTTGTTCTGCGCTGCTGCCTTCAATAATACTTTTAACGAATATACCTGACAACTCCTCCTTCTCACAGACATATCCTGCTACAGTTATGCCCAAGCCATAAACATTTTTATTCAAATCAACATGGACAGTTTCAACTTCAGGCAGTGGTGGTAACTCCACAGGCACAGTAATTGTAATAGTCGGGGAGACCACCTGAGCAACTACCGGATGATCTGGTATCTGCTGAGGATTGTCACCGATAATACTAACAGCCGCCGCTACTGATTCCACATGTCCATTCTGTCCATTAATATACTCTGGATAGCACTGAGATAGATCGTACACGGCGCCATAACCACTCTCGATGAGGTGTCGATCGAGCAATTCCGGATCAGCTAGCAACTTTGTAGGTACGAGTGCAGTCCCAGGAATAGGCGCCCTCAGAGCTGTGGCCGGGTCGGCGGGGCGTGCCACCAACAAACGTACCGAGGGGCCAGCCTGACGCAATACTGCAGCAACCTGCTCGGAGGTGAAGCCGCGCAAGTTGATCGAGCCTACTTGCAGCACGTGATCACCGCTCTGCAGCCGGCCGTCTTTATCCGCGATGCCGCCGGGCAGCACGTATTTGATAACTACACCCGTGCTCCTCCCGCCTACTAGATTGAACCCGAGGCCGTTGCCGTCGTTCGTGAGATCGACGACTTCCACCTGCGCCCATTCGGTGCTTAACACCATCGTCCTCCTCACCATCGAGGCCCAATGTTACGTGATGCGCACGGCACCGACCACGCCGAGGTTATGCCTCCTCGGCAGCAACATTGCGGAGCGGTCCTTGATAAATCACTTTGACACACCCGATTTATTGCAAAACGCGTTATCGTGCGAAGTTTTACATAAAATTCCGTAAATTATGAATAAAAATGACATTTACATACTCACTGAAACTGAGACAGCGAGAATGTGGCCAGCTGCAAGCAAGTGTTCCCGACGAATAAAATTATTATCTAAAAATCACAAAACTTATGTCATACATTTTCATTAAAATTGTTGATTTTTTTTAATAATAATGGAAGATTTAAATGTTAAACAATCGTGGCTTTTTTGAAAGTGCACAGTCCTGCAAATTAATTTTAAAGGCCCTACAAGCCATATTTCAAAGTTTTCGTTTAATTTAAAATGTTCTATCTATATTTCATGGACACCCTATGTACTCATAAGTTTCTTGACAAACAGAAACATAAATGCAAGAGATTTTTTAAAACTTTGAATAATTAAAAAATGAATTATGAAGACATCCTATTCAGTTAAAACATGGCTAAGATAATTTAATGAGGGTAAAATAATCAAGGACAAGACTTTCAGGAAATGTCCTAGTTATATTTCAATCATTGTTAATTGAGGTTCGATATTTACAATTTACACCTAGACGGCTTAGGAATAAGGAGGGACGGTAAGCTGGCAAGCGTATGAAAAAATAAACATGTATAGTTAATTGCGCCATCTATGATACAAATAGTAACGAGGTTTTATTTGCCAAAATGCAAAACAAACATAGTTCATACTTTGCATACTAGATGACGCTATTTGCAGGTCATTGTACCTAAAATATTGGATGTGATGCAACTGCTGTACCATGCTATACAAAAATGATATTTTCCAATAAGAAAAGTAGACAAATTTCCAATTAAACAGTTTTATAGACAGTTATAATTTTTCCTAGCTACGAACAGTTCGACTCTTCATTTTAAACATAGCGTCTGTAGCAGTCTATAATATGTAAATAAATGAAATACTTACTTTAATGGTGGTTTTTTTACTTTAACTTGCAACATATTAGTATAGATCTAGATTTATCTACTCTGATATGTCAACTGAGTGAGTTATTGGCAATTTAACAAGTTTGCTGTTTATTATTCCACATATAATATACATAGAGGCAGCATTTATGAAGTGCGTTTTATTATAAAGAGAAAATAGAGATAGAAAGAGATAGGTATATTTTAAAATGTTTCGACTTTTTTTCTTAATCCAAGAACTTGGGCATGATGCACACCTCTTGCTTATTTTACGTGCATTTTGTCTTCATTCAAACCACAGATAATACTATACTAATGCGCGGTTCACATTTGGCCAGTACAGTTGGACAGTAGCGTAAGCCATTATTTTCTTTTTTAAGTTATTTTGTCTCCGTCTGGCTGGCTTTTATATATAAATAAAATAAAGTACTTATATAATAATAAAACATACTTAAATAATAAATAATACCAGACGCGATTCTTTCGGCAGGGGTGTTATTATTATTATTGATTCCCTAGCACCAGTTAGTGTTCACATTATCCCTGTCGAATGCCAGTCCAGTTGTTGGGAGCTATGGTCCTACTGTACTGGCCATGTGTGAACCGGGAATAATACACACATACATTCAAACATACTTTTCTTCCTTAATCTTATTCTTTGGTTAAAAAAAACGCCATAAAAGTGGATAAACCTTTATTAAACGTATACTTTTTAATAACATGATAACAAGTCATGATAACGCTAATATTACGATACAATAACTTACTTATTTAGTTTTACAGCTAAACTCCCACAAACTTCATCGCAATGTCAAACAGTCTAATTACAAATGGACGTTTACGTGATACAAAATAAATTTTATAATACAATGGACACGTCAGAATTTGAATTTCATATAACTCTTTATGTGCTTCTCCTCCTTCGTCGATTTAGAGTAGGCAACGCATCTGCAATTGCGGATGTCTATGGGCAGCGGTCGCCATTTTAGCGGATTTAGGTGGCCGCTTGCTCGTTTGCCACCTTTTTGTATAAAAAAAATCAATATTTGCAATACATTATTTCTTAAGCAATAGACTTTGTCCACGCGAAATTAAAATTAACTTGTTAGTTAGCGTATGTGTTCTTTCATACTTATTTACAACTGTAACTAACATCGAGATCCTTCGAGTTGTTGTAGGGTAAAACCGGGATAGATGCTGCAAAGGGATAGGTGCCTCATATTTGAAAAACGAAATTTCCCGTAATCGCAATAAGGAACCGCATCTCCCCCTCACCTTATTTAGGCGCAGATAGTGGTGCTATGAGGAAGTGTTTTAAAATATAGCATTTTGCTAGCTATCTTAAAAGAATTTTTAGTATAAAATTAGTGTTTTTTAAATTAGACGTTTTTTTCAAAAAGTGGGGCATCTATCCTTATTTTACCCTAGATTCCTTCTAACAGACATCCATCTAAACTTTCGCATTTATAACATTAGTAAGGTAGTAACTTTACCTACTAATCAAGTACCTACAATATTGAGGTCTATATAGATATTACCTAAATAAAATTTTGTAAACGTTATTTTATAAAGTTTAGTTGGTACAGTTATATCTGTGCAATGAAAACTAAAGGTTTCTATCTGATCTTGAATATATCAACAAATTTATCTACATAGTCGAATTCAATGGAATTATTTACACATTTTGGATGACCAGCAATCACAGTTTATTTCTGTATATTTTTTATTAAATAAAACCTTATAGGCTGCACATTTTCACGCAAAACGACAAAGAGAAAGAGACAAAAATTGCAAACCAATAGCAGCAAACTATGTTGCCATGGTAACAGTTATTGTTAGGTAATGGTAAATGTCTTCGTTGTCTTATGAGCATTTTAATTTTGATTTTTGCAAATAACATACGGAACCTTACTAATATTATAAATGCGAAAGTTTAGATGGATGGATGTTTGTTAAAGTTTGTACCCTAAACTACTGAACTAATCTCGATGAAATTTGGCACAGATGTACTTTTGTTTATTTTTAATTCCACGCGGACGGAGTTGCGAGCGAAAGCTAGTGTGAACAATAACATAATGTTTTTCATCACGCAAATGAACCGCACGGGAGCTGTAAGTTTGAGATATATTATCTACTAGCTTTCGCCCGCGACTCCGTTGTGGAATTAAAAAAAGCAAAAATAAGTAGCCTATGTGTTTTTCCAGACTATCCTCTACATCTGTGCCAAATCTCATTGAGATCCGTTCAGCCGTTTAGGCTACAAATTCTAACAAACGTCGATCAATCCATCCATCTATCTAAACTTTGCTTTTTTTTTTGACTTGTTGTCACTGTTTGCCTTGAAGAGGCATTTACAGATTCACCGGGCTTGAGGTGGCCCAGCGCAGATGGCGCTCTGCCTAAACCTCTTTTATGAGTAACTATGCTCGAGGGCTCCCTCAGGAGCCTCGGCTCGGGCCGTTACTTCGTTATTATTACCGGATTGGAAAAAACTTTGGCATTTCATAATATAAGTAAGAAGTAAGATTAGTAAGATGGATTTATTTTAGAACGTTTCAGTGTTTAAATTAAAATACAAACAGGCCTAAGTACCTAAGAGGTCTGTGATTACAATCTAATAATAATAAAATTGTTTACACAGTTTTATTGTAATCTTTCATTTCTTTTGAATTATGTACATTTATTTACATCTGTGTTTGTGTGAAAATATATTACATAGATATATACATAAGATAACTTATACAAAACGATGAATTTTTGTTCCCAAGTCTTGTATAATAAAAGTTACGTGAGTCCAAACATTAAGATGACCATATTCGACCCAGGAACCTCATTACAGACTCAGAATATTGAATTTTTCACACTTTTTATTGTTATCGTTGGCTTCCTCCCGCAGTATACTATCAAAAATATTTTTGTATCTGTCACGATATGTTAAGATATTTTTGTATAAACATCTGAACAGTAAAAACCCACGCTTAAGAGATGACAAATAAATAAGCACAACAACAAGTAACTAGCATTAAAGATAGCATATTACTCGTATAAGCAAACTTAACTTTAACTTGAATATCTTAACATTATTCCCGTGACTTCGTCATCAACAAGTTACTATACGTCCCCATTTGGCTCGGAGACTACCCTAAGTTAGAGGTTACTACACCTTAGTTAACCTCGCTGCCCACTTAGCAAGTAAAGATACTTATATGCAGGTTGCATCATGATGTTTTCCTTCACCGTAAGAACGACTTCATCAGCGCATACAATAGTCGAAGTTACTTCCGTACACATAATTTATTTTCGTGTATAAATCTTGACGGTACGGACTAACGGACAGACAAAATGTTGACAAAACTTTATCGGTACAGTTGAAAATGACAGTTGAAAATATGATAACTATGCAGTTAAAATAAAACGTGTGTAGCAGGCTTTACAGTGACAGGTGTTCCATTGCCGTGATACTTCTATTGACACATAGTCTTTGTATTCTAAATGAAAGGGATATTAATAGAATTGTGATTATATAATAATAATAATACAAGTATACTTCGACAAATTGGACACTACTGCTTTGTTAGGCACAACACTTGTCGTCAGATCAACAATAAATATACTTTGTCTTACTTGTTCTCTAAACTTAAATCACAAATATACAATGCTTTTGCTGATAGCCTATTGCAAAAAATTTTAAGTTTTTTAACTATGCTACTCACTTCTTAACGATTACTATTTTATTTCCTATTACAAACGTTATAAAATGTCTGCGAGAGAACGTAACTTATCAGAGAGACAGAGAAACGGTTGATCAGATTCACAAACGATCCGAGAACGCAAGACAACTGATGTGTGGCGAAGATGAAGGGGCGCGAGCGAGCGCGGCGCAGCCCCGCGCGGGCCGCGGCACACTGCGCGCGGCGCACTCCCGGCGCCCGGCGCGGAACCCCGGCCACGCCTCTGCACGCCCCGCGCCGCCCGGCCAATGGCGCGCGCGCCCCACCGCGCCGGGGCCGGGGCGTGGGGCGGTGCGCGGGGCGGGCGGCGGGCGGGGCGGTCGAGTGGTGCGCCGCGCCGGGGGCTCCGGGCGCCACTCTCGCCCCGAGAGCCACTAGAGGCTGAGCCGTCGAGTGGCGTGAGTGGCGTCGAGTGCGGCCGGTCGGATGTCCGCGGAGGGCGGCGGCTACTCGCCGTGTCCGGCGGAGGCGCTGCCGGAGCTGAGCGCCGCCGAGCTGGCGATGAGCCTGTCGCCGAAGTCGGCGCTGCTGCAGCAGAACCTCTCTCAACTGCAGCTCCAGCATTCTACGCCCTTCTCCGTCACCGACATCCTCTCGCCGATAGAGGAATACCGCAAATTGGAGCTCGCGAACAACCCGCCGTCGCCGTACAGGTGCGTGCATCGATCGGGCGCGGGCGGGGGCCGCGGGGCCGCGCGGGGGGCGGGGGAGCCGACCTCCACCCGCTGATTTTTCGAGTGGGCCGAAGGTCTCGAGAGTGCTCGACCGACGCTCGTAGTCGAAGGATATAGTTCTGTGACGTTTGTTTGTGCAGGTATGTTGTGATCGGCGGTCAAGTGAGATGCGATGTGAGTGCGAGTGCGAGGTCGAGGACACGCCGCGCTAGCCCGCCGCGCCGCGCCGCCCGGCCTGCTAGGTCCGCTAGGGCCGCTAGGGCCAACAACCCGATACTTTACTTGCGTTCCGTAACTAGATACCAACAAGTACTTCGACTTATCTTTGACCGCGACCGCGAGCACGATGTTTGTCCGCGAGCCGGCCAGTACCGGCAGCTAGCCGCACCTAGCCGCAGCTAGCCGTAGCAGTAGCGAGTAAGGCGGGCGGTGTAGCGGTGTAGCGGCGCGCGGGGGAGGCTGACCGCGATGACGCTCGAGGCGTACATGCATATGTATGTATCCATCATTATCCCATTTGTTACGGTTTCTGAAGCATCAACATCAAGTTATCTACAAACGTTGTAGTTTAAACCCGACTTTTACATAAGTTCATAAATATTTACATACGCATTTAAATATCAAAGTTGGGACTACAATGGATTCATTCATCATTCAATGAGAATTCAAACATTTTATAACTAAAGGAAGATAAACAAAAGCGCAATTAACAAACAAATACGACGCAATCCAACAATGGTAGGCCTATTATCTTAAGATTTTATTTGCGGGAAAAATTACAAATTGGTTAATAATTGAATCAAAACGAAAATGTTATATTTATAGTTTATGAAGAATTCTTAGAAATCTGAACATAAAAATTTTAGAGCACCTATTATGTACTTATATAGAAAACATTGATACATTTAAAAAAAAATAATTAAAAAACAAATTTCAATGAATCCTCCACTAACCTAATAACATAAAATATAATAATAGTTATAATTTCATAAAAATATAATAATAATGAACATTTTATAAGAATATTTCTATGATATACTGAACTTAAGTTTGAAAACTAAATCAAGTTGGAATTAAGTTATCGGAAGTCGTTGAAGTTATTTGTATTGAAATGATGTTATGAAACAAATGTGTCCGAATGTTGCCAATTTTGACGTAATTTTTTTTTAATTAATTACGATTTTTTAACTAAATTTCATTTAATACTAGCTTTTAAAATATCCATATCCTTACATGTTTATTTTTTTAATTATTTTGTTAAAAACTTAACGTCTCGGAAGCTCCACTCAAATTTTTACTGCACTGTAGTTTCGTAAAACATAACGAACAAACTCAAACATAACATTTTATATACCTACATTATGGCGTTAGATAGAAAAGTAGTAAAACATCGTCTACATTGTTGTAAAATCAATTTTTAGGGCCTTATAGTAAAATCATACTAATCATACAAATATTGTAAATGCTAAAGTTTAGATGGATGGATGGATGGATGTTAGCGGATCCGGATGAAACTTGGCATAGATGTAGAACATAATCTGGATCCACATGGGCTACTTGCTTTTGTTTTTTTTTTTTCCGCCCGGACGGTATCGCGGGCGAAATCTAGTCAAATATCATACTAATATTATTAATGCGAAAGTTTAGATGGATGGATGGATGTTTGTTAGAGTTTGTAGCCTAAACGGCTGAACGGATTTCGATGAAATTTGGTATATATGTCGAGGATAATCTGGAAGAACACATAGGCTACTCACTTTTGTTTTTTTTTTTAATCCGCGCCGACGGAGTCGCGGGCGAAAGCTAGTAAAATATAAAAACCCGCTACATATGCTTTACATACCTACTACATCTGCATATAGTTTGATTTTTCAGTAAAAATGTGTGTCTAGGCAATATGAACTGTACAGTAGAACTGACAGTTCAAAGTTCAGTTTACACACACTTAATTTAATCTGAATAGTTAGACTTCCAAAAACTGTCGGAACTCTACGTGTTTAGCACGTTTCATACTTTACACTGTTTCAGTAATTGACGTGATTATATTCCGGTTCACTAACCTCAAAACGAATAATATTTTTGTTAAAATATAACTACACTAGCTTTCTCGACTCCGTCCGCGTGGAATTAAAAAAAAATAAAAGTAAAAAGCCTATGTATTCTTCCAGACTATCCTCTACATCTATGCCAAATTTCATCGAAATCCGTTCAGTCGTTTAGGCTACAAACTCTAACAAACATCCATCCGTCTAAACTTTCGCATTTATAATATTTGTATGATTAGTATGACTATGATTGCGTTTAAAGTTGGTTAAAATCATATTAAAAGCCATTTATTGATCATAAGTAACAGGCCACACGATTGTCGATTGTTTCGCAGCTAATTCCACTGATAGGATTCAAAGCGCGACTAATCAGTTGTGCGATAGTTTAGTTTCAAGTGTGCGCACGCTCTTACTGGTCACTAGCGGGAATAAGAACTTCCATAGATGGTAGACTATCGGCCGATTCGAAAATCGAATCGGCCCGTAGTCTGTGTGGGCTGTAAATTACAAACAAAAGAAAATCTCTTTTATCCCTACACCTGCAATACGTCATCGTTTAAAAAATAAACCTACTTTACATAAATAAATTCTTATAAAAAGTTTGCATTCATAATGTCAAGATAAAACTTAAGTCTTCATTACTAATATTTATTTAACGTATGTAAACGGACAACAATAAAAATATTATTTATCAATTATATTTTCAAGTTGTGTGAATATTAGTCATATTTATTTTTATTATTTGATTTAGTAGCACAGATGGTTAAGAATCTTTGAATAACCTTTCTTAATTATTGACTAGTAATAGATTTATTATTTGGTTCAAAATTCAGAGTTCAGTGATTCGTAGCTGACAGAAACTTTTGACGTCTTACGAAATTGACAAGTATTTTTTTTAATAAAACATTAATCAAAGATCTTAACACCGTACAGCCAATATGGCGGCTGTATTTTTAATTTGACAAGACATCGTAGAGTCGGAGTGTTTGCAGAGTACGAGTGGTGACGGACTCACGCCTGTCGGTTTGTGTGTCTTGCGTTTAGTCAAATGGTCATTTACATGTCTATAAACAGAATTTAAGATGTACGCGAAAAAATAAACAGATGAATAATGAGCCGGATTCGTCAACGGCTTTCCAAAACTCTATAGTCTAGCTTACTTTTAAAATCTTTCCTTTAATTTAAATTGATAATTAAATAAATATATACTTAATTAATATTCTTGATTTGTTAAAGAAATGTAACTAAATAAAATAACCAATTAAATAAACGCCAAGTACCTACCAATTAACAATGAAAACAAGACGCAAATTAAAAGATAACAACCTCTAATCCAATCAAATTACACCAAATTTGAGGGACCTAACCTAAAATTGTTCGCGGTAAATTTCCCGCCCTGTCAAAACTCAATTTGTCAAGTCAAACATCGTAATGGGGCGTTCCACCACCCAGATAGAATAGATCGTGTTAATTTTTACGTGGTGACACATAAGGTTCGGAATTGAGTGTAAATTGCTCTGTTAGCTAAAGGGATGTTTTGTAACTATCGATAAATTATATGTGATTGTGAAATAAAAAGTTCACACATTAGAAAAGAGCTTTTTTACCAATCAATTTGTTTTCAAGTTTTTAGTGCTTTTTACCAATTTAACGAAAACTTTCTAAAATTATGAACTTCGTACTTATCTGACTTTATCGGTTTTTTTCGGTTTACTTATTATTTTAAAACGAATAGTAAAGAAATATGATGCAACCTACTTAAAAATGTGTCTTATAATAATCTTCATTGGATTTTAGAAATGCTTAAATATAATTATTTATTAATAATGTTTAAAAATATTCTGTATAATTTTATCGATATCGATGTGTGATCTAAATCGATAGTTAGTTTTTATCGATAGGTGCATCCCTATTTTTATATCTTCGTACCGTTTAACGGGATGGGTAGGGGCAGGAGATTAAATTGTGTAAATAGGGATTAGAGTTAAGCTGGCTTTTGTTTACAGTGACGGGTTGCTGGCGCCGCGGACCGCGGGTGCGTTCGGGTCGCGTTTACGCCGCAATTTCAAGCGCCCATTCATGATTACTGTCATTAACAAACATAGATTATAGAATTAAATATGCAATCGACATTTTGGGTACTAAATCATTACATCTACAACGTATGTGTAAATTAAATAACACGTTTGTTGCTAGAATAGGTTATCGATCTAATTCAATTATGAATTTGTTTAATAAAAGTTTTTAATAATTTTATAGCTCCTATTTGTAATATACCTTTATGACACTCATGATGATGCTGTTACGATGGATTTTTAACACCATGTCGTGTGATATGTCATACGCAAATACGCAAATAATGTTTGCGGATGTAAATATAACTTAGATATAAAAATGTAAATATTAACATTCCAAAAATACTTACCAGCACAATACTAGTTAGTTAAGGTCTTTCCAAAAAAAATATTCATCTTAATATGAGCACGCGCACACCTTTGACGAAACTATCGCAAAACTGTTTAGTTTGTTGATTCCTATGAGCTTATATGGAGGTGCGCACACTATTCCATTTTTAGTTGTGCAACTAAACGGTTAAATTGGCTGCAAAACAATAGACAATCGGACAACAGCTGTGCTACAGTTTAGTCAAAGTGTGCGCGCTTTTATTTAAAACTAGCTTTCGCCCGCGACTCCGCTCGTGTGAAATTAAAAAAGACAAAAGTGAATAGCCTATGTATTCTTTTTTTTTATAATATAAAGTGGCAATCGAGCAAACGGCCACCTGAATCCACCAAGATGGAAAGCGACCGCTGCCCATAAACATCCGCAATTGCAGATGAATATACGTAGAATAACCTTAATTGACGGAGGAGACGCACATAAAGAGGACTTTTCCCCTTCCTATGCGTCTCCTCCACTGTCAAATCCACTTTTCCTTCCCATCCTTTCCTCTTAAGGAAGGGTGGAAAGGGGAAGGGACTAAAATTAGGCCTCTTTCAGACTACGTTCTATACCTACACCAAATTTCATCGAAATCCGTTCAGCGGTTCAACCTACAAACTCTAACAAACATCCATCCATCCATCTAAACTTTCGCATTTATAATATTAGTATGAATGCACTATAAAGGCGTTTTAGATGCGTTACCGAATTGCGGTGAATGTTTTATTAATTATATGTAGTTTTAATTACCGTTAGGAAATACATACCTAGCTAGGTAGGCCTAATCTAACTGAAGGTGGAGCCCGATAATCAGCCTTTTGAATCCCGTCTTATTATACATATTTCCGCAGGTCAAACTCTTCAGGGAGCAGTATCAACTCGCCGCTGGGTCCGGCCTCGTGCGGTATGGCGGCCAACCCGTACGCGGTGCCGTTGTACGGCGGCGCGCCTGTGCAGGGCTATGGCTGCGCCCCAGCTGACCTGCCGCACTACGGGGACATGCGCGGCGCAAGCTGGTATCCCGCATCCAACGACCCCAGGTTTGCCAGTGAGTCTGCACATCAAGTTATTTGACTGCTATTTAAAAGTATATTTAAGTACTAGCTGTTACTAGCGACTTCGCACGCGTGTAATTAAAAAATAGTAAATAGATGAATTACCTTTCTAACAATGAAAGAATTTTTACAATCGGCCCAGTAGTTTTTCAGTTATTTCAATGCATACAAGATCTTTTCTCTTTATAAATATTTCTATATTTCATTTTTATTATTAGATAAAAAAGAACAAATCAAAATCATGTCTTAAAACATAAAACCGTTCGTCACCTTGCACATATACAACCTCGTTTCTTAACAATAACAATCAGGTCATAAACACTTGATTCCGTAATTTTAAAAAAAAGTAACGCTATCAGATTGCAGTGCAGTGGCCCTTTTGTCAACACCATTAAGAGCACAGTGAAAACATTTAAAAAGGTAAAGTCTGCGTGCCCGCGCGCCCGATCCCAGCATTTGTAACCTTAGACTAACAAGATAGATAAGACATGCGATGCAGTTTTATACCTACTTCCAAAGTACCGTGAGATTATCCTTTGAGATGTCTGAGAGTCGTTAGAACTAATTACAAACTTCCAGGACACCAAAACATATAAGTGCATGGTGAAACTCAGTTTTCACACTATCCTACACATTGATAATTATACCTTTTCAATACGGAAAGCAGTTTTATGCATTTCTTTATTACTGTAATGGTTACCTATTTTGTCGAAGTGTCGTATCTGTTTCACAGCTATTCATTGCTGTAACTTAATCTTTGCCGGGAGTGCGTCGCGGGAGCATCCGATATCGCCTTTTGATAAGTCAATACCTTTGTAATATTATCCACAGTTTGTTTATTAATTACCGCTCCTGCTTATTTGTACTCGATAGAACAATATTAAAATGTCCGCGTTTTTCTTATAAAATCGATATAAACGATTCGAACGTTTTAGTGTTCATTTGTTCATAGTCACGTCATATGACAAATAACATGAAATGTGACTAAAATCTAATTAGAATTAACATTTAATTAAAAAATAAAATTCTTTACGATGTAATTATTACTAGTTAATTTCACAAATAACTAAAATTCTCTGTTCTCTATTGTTCGTATTCAACTCAAGTCCATAGTCAAACTAATTTGAAAGTTCACTTGAGAAACAAGATGGCGTCGACCGCGCTTCGACGCCGGAAGACAATGATAGGAAAATAGTCATCGACAATCGAATTACGTAACACCATAAAACAAAGCCGAAATCATAGCTTCAGTTTGTTTTAAAACGAATTTACTTTAATGTTTAGCTTCATTAAAAATTATAACAACGAACATTAAACACATTTTTAGCGGGAAATTTAGATTAGGTGACATTTGCTTATTTAACAATACGTTGTTACGTAAAAGTTTTCATAACTACTGATTTTATTAACATTTTAAAGTAAGGAAGCAGTGCAATGCTTTGTTAAGAATTGTTCGTCGCTTATTATTTACACGTGTTTTCAAGTTCGTAAATAAGTTGGGTTAATTGGCTTATTTGTGTCAAGTACGTTGTTTAAACTGCCCTTCCAATGAACAGCGGATAACAAACTCAAAAGTCTTGTTTGCGAATAGTAAACAAAAATAGTGTTTTTGTATATTCAAAGCAAGAGCTGGCTAAAAGATTTTTCGGATCTGAGAAATTGACGCAATTTCTTTAAAATATACGCTTTTTTAATATGACTTATGGTTTCTTTTGGACACTATACATAACAGTCATTAGAGTTTATTATATTTCGTAGTATAATTATTAAAATTACTTAGTACGAAAAAAGAGGTTTTACTGTGTATGTTGACAAATGCTCAAGCATCATTCAATTCAAGCTGATAAATGTTCGTCGCTGAAGCGCACCCAAAAACAGATTATAACGGTAACATTCCATTTAAGCGTAAAACACGCTCTCGAATATCGTCCACCGAATTATTATCCCACTACAGAGGCAAGAAGTGTGTAAGAAAAAGTGGTCCGAATGCGCTGCCTTGGGGCACGCCCGGCTCCTGTGAATACCTGTAGTAGGGAGTTGTGTAGGCAGAGACAAAATAAGCAATTCCGTCGATCGGTCCCATGTTTGTCCACCACTAGAGCCTTGGCTACGTAAACATGAAGCCTCACGTCGGCAAATAGCGTGAGGTCGCAGTCGAAGGCTCGCCTAAAATCATTTTTAGTTTAGCCCACGTAATGCGATGCAAGTTGAAATATAGATAAATATGCGTTGCCCACTCGAGTCGCTACTTCAGCCACTTCAACAATTCTTGTATCATGTTGACGACACCTTTCAAATTTAAACACAATTTGCACTGTATTTAGTTAACCTAAATTTCATCAACAAAGTTATTTTATATTAGTGAACTGGTCAAAATATAGTATATGGTATACTCTAGTAGAATAAAGTAAATATAGATAACTAGCTTTCGCCCCGGGACTACACCCGCGTGCAATTAAAAAAAACAAAAGTGAGTTGTTCCTGACTATCCTCTACATCTAACCCACATTCAAATCCGTTCAGCCGTTTTAGCTACTAACACTAACAAACATCCATCCATCTAAACTTCCGCATTTATAATATTAATATGATAGTATTATTTATTTTTTTATTATTACTATTTTCAAGTGATAAAAGCTAATTAACATCACATCTGTGAGTGACAAATTCGCTAACAGTAATCGTGTTAAAATCGTCGACGGCCGTAACAAAACCCGGCATCCCCCCGCGAGTATCGGAGAATGTTGCCAGCACTAAATAAACGCGCCCGCTGGCAAATTGTGCGTGAATCAACATCGAGAATAATAGCCCTATTGTATTACCATCACTCCCCTCTTGGCTGTAAAAACAGTGGCTCTATCTGACGCGCTTGATCGGAAATGATGCACACTATGTGATGTATTTGATAGTTATTGTTAACCAGAAAGATATTTTCTTCACAACAAATTATTAAAATGTATACTATTATGGAATGTAAAGTAGGAAATTAGAACATACAAGTTATTAATAGGCAGGAATATAACAAAATATTCATATATAAATCTTATAGTTTTCTTAAATTAACAGAAATTTATGACCTCAGTGTTTTTGTCGCCTTTTATTTTACTGATTTACTTTTATAATTAGGAAAAATATTGGTAAAACTAGTTTGTGAAACTGTGTTTTATAATACAAAAAGCGTTGAAAACGTAAATCTAAATGGGTTGGTAAACATTGGCTTCCTGGTATAAAGGAAGACAAATGCGGCCGGCTGGTACTGACGCGTCCACTCGCCGCATTAGGCGAAAGCTAAGTGACGCTCTCGGGGCCGCGGGCGGTTTTAATTTGAGGCTGACCGCTGCCGAGTGCCTTTGACTCCGTTTGATGTACGCCACTCGGACGCTCAGGTATCGCGAACATTGATTTATGACACGTTTGAAAACGTTTATGTTTACCGGTTTTTCTGACCATAGATTATAGAGCTTATGTTCGTACTCATTGGTTTAGGCCATAGCTTTTGTTATGTTTTTTATCTTCTGTAGATATTCCCCTTGAAATATTAAGATACTTAAGGAGAAAACGTTTGTCAATCCAAAGACTATCTTGTAAAAAAAATGATGCGTTTTAATATAATCTGTTGCAATACAAGTTGAATATCGAACAGTAGTCGATATGAGTAGATGACGTGTTGGGGTCCGTTCGCGAAATCCATTAGTTGTGAGTAAATATTGACCGGCGACAACGCGGCTTTGAGCAGCGCACGTCGCATGTTCCTCACGTACAGATCGACAATTTCACGTATAAAATTTTGTGTAGACATACAAACATAAAGACAAGTGGTGTGGGAAGAACTATGAGGATGGGTAATTCGGTAGCACGTTCGTCGTCACTTCTAGTTTTATTAAGGTTTACTTAGTGTTTTTTGCCACCCACATTATAATCCCACATAGTTAAATCAGAATTATTTCTACCGTAAACATTTATAGCAATATTAGTTTAAATTTTTAACTACTGCTTTAATTTTATAAATGAACTAACTTTCTCCCGCGACTCCGTTCGCGTGAAATTTAAAAAAAACGCAAGCAATTAGACTGTATGCTCTTCCAGACTATGTATGCTCTACATCTATACCAAACTCTAACAAACATCCATCCATCCATCTAAACTTCCGCATTTATAATATTATTAGTAAGATATATAAGATGTTAGATTTCGTAAAGGTGACATTTTATTATAAAGCAGTATTAAAATAATATTTAACAAAGGCTTAAAAACTTCAACAAAACAACAAATTTTAAATCGGCAACATTTCGATTTGTTTGACTTTCACTGAGAACCTCCTTGGTCATGTTATTTTTGTATTTCAAGTGTTTTAATGTTATTGCGTTTTCCTCGTTTCTGTATTTACTTGGATTACTTAAGTTATCGTGAACGTCTTATTAAGTTGACTGTAACACTTATATTAAATTAATTTTTGTTAATTGCCAGTTTTAAACAGGAAACTTTAATTTACGTTTCCTTGGTTGCAAATGTATTTCTTATTGGTCCATTGTATTGACGGGAAATATATTTTTACCGACTCTGCATAATTTAAAATATGTTTCTGTTAGTTACTTTTTTTACACTTTTATATACCTAGATCATTTTACTAATATTATAAATGCGAAAGTTTATATGGATGAATGTTTGTTGGAGTAGCGTAAACGGAAAGTATCTCGATGAAAAGCACAGATGTAGAGGATAGTTTGGAAGAATACATTTCTTTTAATTTCACGCGGACGGAGTCACAGACGAAAGCTAGTAATGAATATTTTTTAATTCACTCGTGGATTATTTAAAACTATTGATATATAAATCTTGAATGTCAAATAAAAACATATTTAATATAGATAAAGTATGTTAATGGCTAACATTGTTGAGAGTCGACACCTAGAGGGCGGCGTGGCGGCGTGGCGGGGTCCGTCACGCGCAGCCCCGCCGGCCCCGGCCAATTTCACGGCAATTGCCCGGTCATCAAACACACTCGCACTGCCCACTAGCGTTAAAGATTTTCAACTAGAGAGCACATCCCGAATTATAATATCCCAATGTAATAAAACCTTTAAAAGTGAGGGCGATATCAAAGAGTAAAAGTTCTTTTTGCTCAAAGAGTAAATACTGAAAATATTAGGCTGTGTTAACTACACCAGAAAATCTTCAATTAAAATCAAGATTTAAGCTAAATATATTAGCTTAAGGTTGTAACTAAAAGATAACAATATTCCGTATTTAAAATCGACTTGATTGAGAAAATTATTATCATACAAGCTGCTGGCCGCGACTTTCCCCGTGTGAAATAAAAAAAAAACATTAAAAAACAGAGCCTATGCTACTCACTGATAATGTAGCTTTTTAATGGTGACAGAATTCTTCAAATCGGCCAATAGTTTTTGAGTTATTACAATACATACAAAAATATAAATCTTTCCTCTTTATAATATTAGTATAGATATAATCTGTAATACAGTCAGCTGTTCGGCAGCCATGTTGATTCCTTAATCAACTATTGCCTTCAATGAGTTTCATTCCATCAAATTGTGATACATACGAAACCGGTGACCGATGTCGAGCGGCCGTCTCCCTTTGCAATTACCAGGGAGTTTGTTGTGAAAACATTATGCATTGTTGCCCCGAACATTGTAGCTAGGGTTGTAGATCAACCGAATTTTCCAATTTTAATGCACTACGAAATGGCGGGAAATATGACAGGTTTATTTTTTAATTTAGGTTATAATGTGTGCGTGTTAATCTTATGATTTTCGCATGTGACAATTGTTTCTTCTAAAATATGCGTGAATTATAAGTTTTACACCATTCAATATAGATAAAAAAACTACACACATCTGTTAATGCGTCATTAAGCGCTTCAATTTTTATACAATTAACCCTTATAAAAGCTAAAGTGCCCGAAAATAACTACAATTCGATTAAAATACGATTTCAAAGATTCCCCGACTCGATAACAAAATGTCCGTCTACTGACGTTTGGACAAAGAGCATACATTTTTTTTCTTATATTGATGTGGCAATGATACGGAATACAGCCAAAACAGAAGCACAGAGGTCCTACAATGGCGACGAAAGTAAGACAGAATGGGGAGTTATTGAAAGACCCTTTTCGGTGCTCGAGTGTTGTGTAAATAGAATGAACTCTGAATCAGTCGGGTATAATGCGTGGAATATTGCCCGGTCTTACACCGACTGCCGAAATGACGGACGAATAATGGATATTTTTAAGGCGAAACACGTTTACTTTTTACTAGCTTTTACCCGCGAATCCGTTGGCGAAGAATTAAAAACAAAAAAATAAGTAGCCTATGTGTTTTCTCAGACTATGCTTTACATCTGTACCAAAATTCATTGAGATCCGTTCAGCCGTTTAGGGTACAAACTTTAACAAACATCCATCCATCCATCTAAACTTTCGCATTTATAATATTAGTAAGTAGTAAGACTAGCGTTTCCCTCCAAATTCGCCAGGATAGCAAGGGATATATTATATCTTTTCTGTCATATCCATTTAATGTACCATTTATTAAAGCCAATCAGAGATAATGCAGTTTTTTAACGTCGAATGTATTTTTGAAATCGGTTTAATAGTTTCAGAACTTATTATAACGATTTTTTCTTTTTATAAGATTAGAATTGACGTCCTTCTGCATTTACGTGTAAAAAATGTTAAATTACATTATCGCTTACATTTTTAGTAATTTCATATAAATTCTGGCAATATTTTTCACAAGTGTCGAAAAATCCGTGCGCCGCTAACGCTAAGCTAGGATTGCTCTCATCCGAATTTATTTTGTTTTTAGAAAGTTAACACGGAATGAATAAAAATTACTCTTTAAATATGCTTACATTTCGGCTGCTCAATTTTATTTTCATCTTTTCAATACAAGTAGGTAAAAAGAGTAATCTAATCTTGACAGCGGTACAGCGTCAACGATTTTAAAATAACCATCGAATGTTGAATAAAACTTCGATAGCACATCTTTCGATATTTCACATTAATAAACATAACTTTTGGAAGAGTTTATTACAATAAGAGCCTTGTAATTCCTTGCCTAGCCTTGGAATAGTATCGATGAATGTCGACTTTAGCAGTGTTTTATTTTTTATTTAGTTTATGTCTAAAATTATAATAGTCCGTGACTCTAAATAACAACGTAACTATACTTATAAAAAACATGACGTTTGTTTTTCCTTTTCATTTGCATTAAATTAGCTTTTAATCTCTCGCAAATCTATATAACTATACAACTCTATACAATCTATACAATTTATATTATTACTTATTACTTACTATTATAATAAAGCGTAAAAACACACTTCTTTGTTGCCTAAGATGTCAGCAATTACAGCATATTTTTAAATAATTTTTTTTTAAATAAAAAGCCCTACACTTACGTCACGCTTCTTTTTTCACTCTATTAAACTTAGGGTTAAATATTTTGGATAAAAACCCTAATGTGGGAAAGAGACCATAAGTTGCTGCCAACATCAAGGATGATTGCAAGCAAGATTGGCAAGGTTTGTCATGTCATGTCACTGTGACATTTGCTATCGATAATTTGACAAATGTAAACAATGTAATGAAAGTTTCATGCGGACGAAGCCGCAGGGGAATAGCTAGTTATTTTATAAAACGAATTATTAAAACGATCTTATCCTGGCATCTAACATATACAAGTCAATAAATAAATGTACGAAACATGTTAAATATGCATTTAATTAAAATGATAAAAGACAACTCTATTTCCTACCGTCCAGAAATACTCGAAAACATTAAATTACCCATTTCATAAGATAAATATATTAAATAAATTATATTTTATATGTTTTCATTTTAGTAGTCGTTATAGAAATAAACTTATATTCCACTTTTAATATAAAAAACGCTATTTTGAATCTGTGCAAAATAAAGCAGCGCGGAGCGAAGCGTTCAGCGCGCGGGAAACGTCTAGTGTCATTAGCGAAAATGGCGGGCTGACACTTGAGCGTAGCCAGCGCGAGGAGTTTAATTTTTTCATGCCGTTATTAATTCCTTTTTTTACGTAATGATAATGGGACGCGCTGGGACGTTTGTGACAATGTAATTAAAATTGTAAAATTCCGCTTTAAGTTATCATCATCATTTTTTCCCTTGAAACTTTTTAATCTGTATCTACGCTATTACATCGCGGAAGGCCATTATTGCGCTCAACGTCTACCTATAAATGTTTTGTTGACGGAATCATTATCAAGAAATGCGTTTAATTTTTTTTTATCTGTGGCTATACAATACTATAGATAATGTAGATAATATTCCTAATTTAAATATGAAAAATTAAATAATATGACCAATAAATGCTAAGAATTCAATTAAAACTCTAATAAGATATTATTTGCTTTATATTTTTTTTATTTATGACAGTCTACAATGAGCCAACTGTTGTAATTTCTGTCAACCTTACCCTTTGGTAGTGTATTTGAGCGGCTGCTTTAGTTTCCAGGCTGATGACATCGACGTCGGGAGGTATGGGCCACGTCAATAATATGGGCGGGCTGGCGGCGTGCGCCGGACCAGACGCCAAACCGATGCAGTTCCCGCTCGCGCAGCGTAGGAAACGGAGAGTGCTGTTCACGCAGGCTCAGGTAAGCAACGGTGATCTTCCCTTCAGCTTCCCTCCCGACTGTTTATATTCCTTGTAGACAGTATTGGCTTTCGCACGCAACTCTGTCCGCGCGGAATTAAAAAAAAAAAACAAAATAAAAAAAAAAAAAATTTTTTAATGTATTTGCAGTTGTATGCGCATGTGGGCAACGGAAATACTTTGTGGAAATTAGCAAAACTTTACTTCTTACAAATAACACATTTTAGGAAAAAAAACAACAATTTACTCAAAAACTACGACATCCGTCAAAAAACCCAATTCGAATATCTCTGATATTCGTTCTATTTTTAAAACTTTTATTCTTCATTATGTCTCACGTCGCTACTAGTTGCCAGTTACTTCAACAAAATTCAAGACTTCCAGAGCGGCGTTTGCAACAGAATCATGTTAACAACAGTTTAGATATACGCAGTTTATCTCGATCGTCGTCGCCAGGGGGCGCTGGCATGATTAATATTAACCTCACGCACCCTGTCTAAACTTTTGTTCACTTAACCCTTAAACTGCGCGCACTTTGTCCGCCAACCCTCCAGACACGGGGGTGCATTATTTGCCGATCATTTTACAAATAAAATACGCATGGGGTCGTTACCTGGTGGTTAAAGCGCGCTGTTCACGGTATCTTGATAATTTTAAATATATTTATCCGGACTTGCAAAAAAAATCATAAGACAAATCTATACTCTATACTAAAGCGTAAATACACACTACTTTGTGGCGTAGGATATCAGAAAACACAGCATATTTTTGAATAATTCGTTCTTAAATAAAAAGCCTTACACTTACGACATGCTATATATTTTTACGCTAATAAACTTGGGGGGTTAAATAAATTAAAAAAAAAACCTTCATGTGGGAAAGGGACCATAAACTGTAGTTTAGTTTTGCCAACATTAAGGAAGCAAGATTGCCATGGTTTGTCATCATGTTGTGATTTTGTCATTTGCAATTGATAATTTGACAAATGTATACAATGAAATACAATTTTCTACTTCGTTAAACATGTTCTAATAAAATAGGTAACAATCCTAATGGAGATTTTAATATTTCTTCACCAATTTTTAAGCCAGTATTTGCAAATACTTAATTAACAGGATTCAAACGTTTTTTATGAGTTACTAACTTTCGCCCGCGACTCCATCCGCGTGGAATTAAAAAAAAACAAAAGAGAATAGGCTATGTGTTTTTCCAAACAATACTCTACTTCTGTACCAAATTCTATCGAAATCCGTTCAGCAGTTTAGGCTACAAACTCTAACAAACATCCATCCATCTAAACTTTCGCATTTATAATTTTAAGAGAAGTATGATTTCTTATCCTTAAAGTTGGATCAATAGTTAATCGAAGTCACTAAACTATGACGTATCATAGAAATAGAAATAATTTTATTGAAAAACAAGAGATTAACATTAAAATAACAATTATACCAACTAAAAGATAATTACAAATTGTGGTTAATATACGATTAATCTGGTAATGCCCACATTAGGCAATGCCTGTATCGTGTTGTAATGTGAGGGCATTAAAACTGCCAGAGTAAATGTCGTTAATGGGCAGCCTTACGCCGCGTCGGGGGACCACACGCCTCGCGTTTATTCTATTTATTTGCGAATACGAATTTATTCATGTCACAGTTATCTTAATCATTTTTAACGTTAAACTTGTTAGTTTATTAACTTGATATCTATGTATCTAATATTATAAATGCGAAAGTTTAGATGGATGGATGTTTGTTAGAGTTTGTAGCCTAAACGGCTGAACGGAATTCGATGAAATTTGGTATAGATGTAGAGGACAGTCTGGAAGAACACATAGGCTACTTATTTTTTTTTAATTTCATGCGGACGGAGTCGCGCGCGAAAGCTAGTAATAAAATATTGTGTGGTTAAGATTAATTATCCGCTATTTCGAAATGGATTAGTGTTGACTCAAGAAACAATTAGTACCTTAAGAGCATGCGCACACCTTTGACTAGACTGTCGCACAACTGTTTAGTCGCTTTGATTCCTATGAGCTTGTATGGCGCTACTCGATTTTTAGCTATGCAAGTAATTGAATTAGCTGCGAAACAATTGACGCACAACAGTTATGCCATCCTTTTAATCAAAGGTTCGCTCTTACAAATTATCAAAATATGACTTACTAGCTTTCGCCCGCGACTCCGTCCGCGTGGAGTTCAAAAAAACACAAGTTAGTAGCCTATGTGTTCTTCCAGACTATTATCTACGTGTATGTCAAATTTCATCGAGATCCGTCCAGCGGTTTAGGCTACAAACCTAAACAACATCCATCCATCTAAACTTTCGCATTTATAATATTAGTAAGGTTCATATAGTTTACGTGTAAACGTGTCTTGTCTTTTTTAATTGTAGATTACGTGACAGATTTTTTCTAATAAACACCTAAATAAAACAACCACATGAAATATAGTTAACTAGTTACTATGCATTTTATTGTCGCTTTTAACTTACTATGTATTAAATAAACGGTGTAATTTCAGAGGTTGTGGAAGTCAATAAAAGTAAAATGGTATAATGAGGGTAGGAAAGCGGGTCTGTGTACCATTGCTAGGGGGCGAGGGTAGGGGGTGGATTGGAAGTCAGACTTATAGAATGGCACACAGCGAGCAAACCGCGTTGCAAATCTCATATAGATCACATTTGATGGGAAATGTATTATTCAATTATTACTTAACTAATTTATACTTAGCTAAGTGTAGCTTTGTCTTATTTTTTATATTTTATGATGAACTTGACGTGTCTCGCGTCTTCGTCCGCGCGGAAATATTTTTTTTTAATAAATGTAGCCTGTTACTTAGTGATTATGTAGGTATTTATTGGTGATTATTATTAATTCGGCCCAATAGTTTTTGAGTTATATCAATATATACAAAAATACTTCCTTTTTATAATATAAGTAGTTATATATTACCTACTAGCTGTTCCCGTACGGCTTCATCCGCACGAAATTATGAAAATTTTATGTTACTGTTTACGTTTGTCAAAGTGTCAATAGCAAATGTCAAAATGACATGACATTATAAACCTTGGCAATCTTGCTTCCTTGATTTTGGTAGCAACTTATGGTCTCTTTCCCACATTAGGGTTTTTTATCCAAAATATTTATCTCCTGAGTTTAGTGGCGTGAAAATATGTAGCCTAAAGCGTGACGTAAGTGTAGGGCTTTTTATTAAAAAAAATAATTACACAAAAATATGCTGTAATTGCTCACATCTTAGGCAACAAAGAGTGTGTTTACGCTTTATTATAATAGTATAGAAAAGGATAATTAAAAAAAAACTAAAGTATTTTAAATAACGAATTCCATCTTATTTATTTAAATGTAAAAACTCTGTCTTATTTTGATAAACGCATTCTGACTTTATTTGTTTGTGACCAATTTTAGGAAAATTAAAGGACACTAGTATTACCAAGTCCAGTGTCAATAACCTAAGGAAAATTCCCCAACAACTTTGGCTCCGATTCCGAGACTTAAGCAATACAGCATAACATACTCGATCGATGAAACTCGAAAACATCAAACAACGTCTCGAGTCGAAGAAAACGAAACATCAAGAACCTCTCCCTCTCACCCCGCACCAACCCCCGCTCCCCCAAACACCCCTCAATATATAAGTAATTAGACATTCCCGCTACCTGAGCCATATAACGCTAACGTAGCTATTTAATTTGGAAAGGGGATGCCACCCCCGCGGCCCCTCCCACTGGCCCCGCCCCCGGGGGTGAGATGTACCACCTATGTTATCCGGATCATGTAATTAATTCTATTCCGGGAAATTTATCGTTGCCTTCACAGATTTTGCGCGTTCGTGTGTGTTCCTATTCGCCTGTGTGTTATTCGTCATCCATTTTCCTAGATCGAATAAAACAATAAAAGGAGAACACGAGGTTATTTCATGCGTACAGGATCCCCAAATGTTTAGTTGATAACGCTGTGTAAATATATAAAACACTAGCTGTTGCTCCCGATTTCGCTCGCGTGTAATTAAAAAAAATCGGCCTGTGTTACTCAGAGAAAAATTCTAAAGGTAAAAGAATTTTTGAAATAGGCATTTTCCCTTTTTACAATTTACGTTTAGGAAGAGTTAGGAAGTGGATTTGACAGGAGATGGGACGCATAGGTAGGAGTAGTTCCTCTTTCTGTGCGTCCCCTCCTCTGTTAAGGTAGGCAACGCATCTGTAAATGCGTATCTAGGAGCAGCTATTGCTTCGGTATTCGGTGTATTGCTTGGTCGTCACTTTATCAATGTCATGTTTGATGTATGTATGTGTGCAGGTATACGAGCTGGAGCGGCGGTTCAAGCAGCAGAAGTACCTGTCAGCGCCGGAACGCGAGCACCTCGCCTCACTTATACACCTCACACCAACACAGGTCAGTGTCTCTTAGTACTTGTTCTGTTGTATGAATTTAATTGTGCATAGATTAAATATGCTACAGACATCTGAACAGTTTGACAGTTCAGTTAGAACTTATGTCGTCGTGATACGCAAAATGATATTTTTTTTGACATTGTCTTCATTTCACAAAAAGTATATCAGTAAAGTAACTAAAATAACAACAAACTGAATAAACTGGTATACAAAAGTAACAATAAGTGAAACATTTAAAAAGAGGTAAATGGATTGCGTGAAATGTGACAATCAAAAAGGGAGAGATGACTAAGATGACGTTTGAAAGAGTTATGTGTATTATGAGTATTTAAAAACTTTATAGCTATAGGTACTTAAAATGTCAGAAAACGAAGGCAACGTCTTCAAAAAATAGATTATTTCACGACCTTGTCTATTACTAAGTTATGACACAATCATAAATAACCTCGCACAATAGGCGACCACTCAAGCACAACACTATTAAGGCGTCGCCACACGCCCCGAGCATGCATGTCGGCGACATAGACGACATAAATCACCGCACAACAGGCAACACCAGCCGCGGGCTATGACCGGGACATCCCCTATTACCCGGATCCAATTACCGAATACAAAACGCCCACGCGGGGGCGAAATGCCGCCGGCTAATGTTTTACAACTTCCGTCTGTTGTTGCAACCGAAAAGGAAAACAAATCGGTTTGTTCCGATACACGATTAAACGGATCTGGTTGCTTGAAACAGAGACATTCTAGAAAAGGGCATAGACTACTAATTTATTTTTAATTTCATGCTAATAAAATTATTATAAACATTTATTTTTATAACTTAATGGCTATCGTGTTGATTCTACGTTCGTTTTCTGTCATTAAGGCAAAAACTTTACCTTAATAATAATAAGATGTCAATTAACGATATTTTTATAATAAATAACGTTGACACGGTGATAGAGTAACTAACATTGGGTGATTAGTATCGCCGCGGGTTATCTCGTTAGAGGCATCTTGTTTCACGTCACCGACGCTGCTTTAGAGCTAGGACCTTTGAGGGCTGTAAAATTTCACTTGTTTGGATTTTTTTATTCGAGTGCTGTCTTCAAATTGGAGAGCTCTTTGATGACGTCACGGGAGTAACGCAGCGTACCGTGAGGATGCTACGAGGAGGGGATGTTTGTGGCTTCCAAGGTTTTATTATTATAGTGCTTCGAGAGTTCCCTTTGAAGTATTTAGGTTTTTGATCTAAAGAGGTCACAAGTTAAATGTATTGCTAGTCGTAATCGTGTTTATTTGTGACATTTAGAGCGGACACCTTTTACTAAACTATCGCACAAAGTTGTGGGATTGTCGATTGTTTCACAGCCAATTCAACTGTTTAGTTCCAGAAGTAAAAATTAGAAGATTTTTTTATAATCCGATTATTCAAGGATAGTTTAACGAAAACGTTTAGCGTATTTGTTTAATAAAGTTCTATATGCGGTCGCAAACAAACCGTTCACGAGTTCCATTATTAATATCTGTCAGTGGCACGCGGCGAGCTTTCCCACACCGCGACGCGCGCGAATTCGGATCCTTCACAACAAAGACTCGATAATCTCGGCCGTGTCAATATAAATTTCATAAACTCGGCGTATAACCCCAACAAAGGGCCGCAAACATCCATGAATAATCTCCATTCTGAGGGTGTCAACACCATTTACGACGGAGCGTTTTGAATTCGCGCCAAAACAAACGTCAAACTGACGCGACGGGAAACAATGGCGGCGTGGCGCGGTCAGCGCACAGCCAGCCGCTGGCTTGGATACGATAGATTTAATTACATGTCAATTGTCACGGACTTTAGATTGGTTTTTTAATTATTGAATCAAAACAAAACAATAAAAAAAGTTGACTATCAATAAATCCCTAATTTGATCAAGAACAATTTAATTAAATCATTCAATTGTTTCAAAAAATTGAATTGTACTTTATGGTTTGCACTTCATATGATGACCGTATTGTTGTCAAGAGTTCACTAATGTGACTAATTACCGTTGATTGGTTAAATTGCAGTGGTTAAATGAGGCCTAATTTACTGCTGGTTATGATTTATTAATAAGTAGCTGTTCCCGTGCGGCTTCGTCCGCATGAAATTATGAAAACTTTATTTTATTGTTTACATTTGTCAAATTATAAATAGCAAATGTCTAAATGACATGACATGACAAACCTTGGCAATCTTGCTTCCTTGATGTTGGCAGCAACTTAAGGTCTCTTTCCCACATTAGGGTCTTTATCCAAAATATTTAACCCCTAAGTTTAATGGCATGAAAATATATAGCCTAAAGCGTGACGTAAGTGTAGGGCTATTTATTAAAAAATGAATTACTCAAAAATATGCTGTAATTTCTAAGATCTAAGGCAACAAAGAAGTGTGTGTTTACGCTTTATTATAATAATATAGATATAGACAGATTGCTTATTTTATTACGACTAATAACAGATTATAAATGATTTTAAACTATATTAAGAATCTTTCGAACACAATAAATTGGAATATTATAACATTATTTTTATATTTAATATCGAGACAATGTCCATAGAAATGTGGGAAAATAATTAATCAGTTTTTAAGTAAAAGAATTTTATCCCTACCAATAACTCATTTTAGACGACGCAGTGTTCTCCTAGGCTAGGCCCAGGCCACGTATAATGAACCTAGACATGCATAATTAAGTTTTGCATAACTTAGCGTCTTCTGACAAAGATACGGCTGGAAAGAGATTTTAAATTTTATTTTTCAAGTAATAAGGTACATTTTGAGATATAACAGTTAAGGACACGTTTCTGTATAAAAAGGATTACGACTCTTATTATTAATAGTACAGTCAGCTGCATATTTTTTCTTTTGGCCTTCTGTTTCTGAAATATGTATGAATATAATTGTAAACCGAAGGCCTATACAAGTTATTGATACTAGGCAAATGTATACATATTTATGAAGCTGACTGTACAGTATCAACCTTTACCTTTTTTTTATAAACAGGAAAGATTTGTATTTTTGTATGTATTGAAATAACTCCATAACTACTGGATCAATTTAAAAATTCTTTTACTATTAAAAAGCTACGTTATCAGCGAGTAACATAGGCTATTTTATTTTTAAAATTTCACGCAAAGTCACGAGCAATAACTAGTCTACATTAAAGTGCCTTAGGATTTGAATTAGTGATTTGAAGCTGTATATGTGGTCACCATGTTTCAAGAAACATTAGGGAGTTTGTGGATATCATGTTTTCTTAGACAATCTATGGTACGGAAATGTAATGAACGAATTTGTTAGGATTGTATGCACGAAGGTTGATTGTTGGTGAAATTGCTAACCCTCGCGGAGCAATAGCCGCGCCGCGGTCGCGATGTAAGAGTTAAACGCATTCCGTTCCTGCATATTCATAGCCTAGTTTAAATACATGTAGGGCTGTCACACGACCATAGACAACGATAAATATTACATTATTTAAAAAATAAAAACTTTGTATAATACAAGCTCCTTCAATACCAGAAGCTAAAAGAAAGATCTCGGGAAAATTACTGATTGTCACTTTTATTGTGTAGCAAATACTCATTCCAAACACTTCAAATGGCAGCATTTTTTAATGAAAAACGTTTTGTTGCCTCTATTTGAGAGTGTTTTTTTTTCTTTTAAAATGAATTAGGTAGTCACATTAGGCATGAATTCAAAGTTATTACTTTTACCACGCAAAAAACAATACTCACAAATGTTCAAGTATTGAATCTAGTGACGACTTCAGTCTCCTTAAAGTGAAGACTTTGGACTTATTGTACTTTTAGTGTACTCTAGTCGTAGGAAGTCCTAGAATATTGTCAGCCCTGGATAGCCGGGAGTGCAATAAAGGCGAAGTTGGAGCGCGGCGATGGCCACAATATTCCGCAGTATTTGATTTTCGGAGCGAACAAACAGACGGCTCGCGTTTCGTTATTTAACTTAAGTAAATTTCGATGTTCGGCCCCCGCAGCCCGCAGCCCGCCGCCGCTCTGCCACTGTTGATACAGCACCTCCCCAGCCGCCGTCGGGATGAGAGCTTCCATTTCAAATATATTCCCAATACGAATCATTTAATAATCTCCCTTGATACCTTGTTTCACAAATCTACTCTAAATCTAATTGTCAAATCTGGTATTTAATTCATTATATCGTGTTAATATCGCATCGGATAACCTTTAAGTAATCATATTAACGGACTTATGTAAAGCACGAAAATGAGATATTACGTGTACAATAGTATCAATAGAACAATTACTATGCAACTAAGGCCCTGTCTTAACAATGGCTGATAGAGGCTCAGAAAGCTTAAGAACGTCACTATCAGATTATGTATCAAAATCCGATATTTCCATCACATGTTTTACACGTTGGATTGCTATCAGACAATTTACAATTTGGTGGGACAAGCCTTTAACGAGGAAACTATGCAGTACGTACATTTTTTATGTTGTAACACTATCGAGAGGAGCTGGGCGTCCATTGGCCGCTGTCAGGCGTGTTCTGACAGCGCGTCATTGTGCGCCGGCCCGAGCTGAGCGCCATTATCTTATTGCTCGCATTAAAACATCTCGAGGACCCGCATGCGCAGCTTCCGGCCGCCGAGTGGTACCAGGCAGACAAAACGCAGCCGGATCGTGCCCCGCACAATGGGAAGGGTTGATTGTGTCGAATGCCGTGTAGGTCTTTGTTTCCCGCCTTTTTTTAATAACCCACAGATAATGAATGAGTCAAGCGCGTGACTGAACGCTGCTACTCTATGGTATGGGAGAAAATATGTGTTATTGTTCAGCACTTTCGAAATATTACACTATTTTATAAGCACACTTCCTTAAAAACTAAAACTATACCAATAGACGGGTAACATGAATACATATTCCAGTGCTTTTCTCTATAGCGCATATATTTTGGGTAAAAGAACCAAAACTTTAATTTGACTCAAAAAGGTCCGTAGTTACGTTAAA